CCTGAGGACTCCAAGCACTCTGGCAGACACCACAATCACGAACCGGAGAAACAAATAAATTCTCCCAAGCATATGAATGCTGTAGACAGTTGAATAGGAACCATACGAATAGGTTTACTCTCCTAGCAGTCAAACTGGAACAGCATACAATAAATCCTTCCCCCAATAATGAGACGACACTTCACTTTGAGGGTTAAAACAGGAACTCTCTGTAATGGCCACACACTGGCTTTTATGCAAGTCCCCATGCAAGGGGACATCCCACACGGTGGGACACAGTACAACCAATCGTTACAGGGGAACCATAAAACACACCCACATTTACATCACAATCCCTCCTCTCTGTCCAGGAGATAACTGAAGTAATCCAATTATCTCCCAGGACAGAGGCAATACAATAAAAGACATAAAATTACATACAGTTACATTTATTCCATAAAACATAGACATTCTACATATCCCCAGATAGCTTAGATCTGAGTGCACATTACTACCGAATGGCGCTCAGATCACATAAATACAGTTCAATCGCCATGGAGCCAAAGCCTTTCATACAGTCTTTCAGTATATGGCTGGGCTCCATGGCATAGCTATCTGGGGTAGCATGGCTTTAACAGTCTACAGAAAGGCATGAATATGCTTTTCAGGGAAAATAAAAGGTTTTAACTGCCGGGCCATAATCTAAAGGGAGCAGGCGAGCAACCAGGCTCCTCCAGTGGACAGTGGCGAGGCTGGTTTCGCCACATTTCTTCCCTTTACCATCCAGACTAACAGGGTATCTGACCTCCTGTCGGTCAGTGCCCTGGTTAGTCCAGCAACCCACCCACGAAGCACAAACAGCAGTACCTCCCACCCACAATAAATGTTTACCCCACCTGGATAAAGTAGCAGCTTGTCCAGGTCCAGGTTCCTCACCACGGCTGTGCGGGGAGCTGGTAGACTGCCTTGGTGGGTTGCTGAGTGGGCAGAGACCAGCGGTACTCTGCCCTGGTGCCAGCGCTACCACTGAAGTAGCCTGGTTGGAGCCTGGTTGTGGGAGGGGGAGACCGACCGTCTCCCCTCTGGGTACACAGCTCTGGGGCTGGGGGACAGGACCGACCCTCCCTACCTCTTGTGCTGCAAGTGCAAAGACTACGGTCCCATCTGCACTGTTGGGGGTGTAACATCTCCCCTTGGTGGGTTAGGCTGCCGCTGGAGAGAGGGTGTAACAAGCTCCTCTCTCTGAACTGTAACCTGCCGCTGGGGAGAGGGGGTAGCAGGCTCCTCTCCGTGACACTCTCTCTGCTGGTGGTGAGGGGGACCAGCTGTCTCCCCTTTCAATATTTTGTCCTGCTGCTGGGGTGCGAGACTGACGGTCTCTGCTCCCTGCAGGACACTCTGCCGCTGGGGAGGAAGGACGACACCTTCAGCTCCCTGGGATACAATCTGCAGCTGGGGAGGAAGGATGACACCTTCAGCTCCCTGGGACTCACTTGACCGCTGGGGAGAGGGACCAACTGTCTCCTCTCCTAAGAACACACACTGCCGCTGGGGAGGAAGGACGACACCTTCAGTTCCCTGGGATACACACTGCCGCTGGGGAGGAAGGACTGCACCTTCAGCTCCCTGGGATACACACTGCCGCTGGGGAGGAAGGACTGCACCTTCAGCTCCCTGGGATACACACTGCCGCTGGGGAGGAAGGACTGCACCTTCAGCTCCCTGGGATACACACTGCCGCTGGGGAGGAAGGACTGCACCTTCAGCTCCCTGGGATACACACTGCCGCTGGGGAGGAAGGACTGCACCTTCAGCTCCCTGGGACTTACTCTGCCGCTGGGGAGGAAGGACGACACCTTCAGCTCCCTGGGGTACACCTTTGAGTCCCCGTAACGCACTCTGCCACCGGATAGGGCGGCCGATACCTTTGGCTGGATCTGCCATGAACTGCAGGTACTCGTCTACCTGGCTCCTTACGAGCTGCACGTATTTCTCCGGGGGGTTGGGTCCAAAGAAAGCCAGCCGCATGGTAAACTCTCTGTCATACTGCTCCTGAGTGTAGCTGGGTGCCATGCTTGCGCTGCTGAAGTTGGTTCTTTTGTAGATAGGGTTGCTGTACGGGTACTGGCGTTGCCCTCAATTTGTAATCTAGGAACTGGTGTTGTATTATAGCTGTCCTTCTGGGCTGTGGAAATGATCCCGTCGCTTGCCACCAATGTAACGGATCACCTGGCACCCCGACTGGGTACCTCCGTTGAAGGATGCTCCTAGCGCTTCCTGAGGACTCCAAGCCCTCTGGCAGACACCACAATCACCGAACCGGAGAAACAAATAAATTCTCCCAAGCATTTGAATGCTGTAGACAGTTGAATAGGAACCATACGAATAGGTTTACTCTCCTAGCAGTCAAACTGGAACAGCATACAATAAATCCTTTCCCCAATAATGAGACGACACTTCACTTTGAGGGTTAAAACAGGAACTCTCTGTAATGGCCACACACTGGCTTTTATGCAAGTCCCCATGCAAGGGGACATCCCACAGGGTGGGACACAGTACAACCAATCGTTACAGGGGAACCATAAAACACACCCACATTTACATCACAATCCCTCCTCTCTGTCCAGGAGATAACTGTGAAGTAATCCAATTATCTCCCAGGACAGAGGCAAGACTCCATTAACCACATGGCAGTAACAATACAATAAAAGACATAAAATTACATACAGTTACATTTATTCCATAAAACATAGACATTCTACATATCCCCAGATAGCTTAGATCTGAGTGCACATTACTACCGAATGGCGCTCAGATCACATAAATACAGTTCAATCGCCATGGAGCCAAAGTCTTTCATACAGTCTTTCAGTATACGGCTGGGCTCCATGGCATAGCTATCTGGGGTAGCATGGCTTTAACAGTCTACAGAAAGGCATGAATACGCTTTGCAGGGAAAATAAAAGGTTTTAACTGCCGGGCCATAGTCTAAAGGGAGCAGGCGAGCAACCAGGCTCCTCCAGTGGACAGTGGCGAGGCTGGTTTCGCCACAATATGGTTATTTTATTTATCTATTTTTAATTGATACTCACTGTTGTAAAACATGCATATTTAAGGAGTGGTAGGCAGAGGTTGAGCTTGGGTACTAGGAGAGTCTCCGTGTTTGTCAAACAGTGTAACAGAAAATGGGAGTACAGAACCCCAAAACCCCATGCACCATAATCACCAAAATTAGGTGTATTGGTTCTGGTGCATATAGTGCATATCATTTAATGTCATGGCATATCTGACTTGGCATTGATCCTTAAAAATGTTAAAAAATATGATAGTTTTTAACATTGCCATAATTTACTAATAGATTTATTATTTCTATATATTCTTGTTAATTCTTTCATATTGTTATAAGATAAATTAAAGTCCTGGCTTTAATAACCTTCTAATGTTTTAGCCTCCATCTTCAGGGGTAGTTTCATCTTCAATATTTTATTGCCAATATGGACAATTAACTTGCCAGCAGTGCTTATTAAACCCACCTGTTCAAAACATGTGGATACCAATGTCCAACATGGTTAGAGTGATAAATTATTTTTTTCATTATGAAGTTGTTTTTATAACATGCAATCATCATATCATCAGAAATTACATTGCCCAATTTGTGCGGTTACATATATGTTTTTTGTTTGTAGGGTCATGCATATGTGGGAGGTGTGAATGTCTGCTTTTAGAAAAAAGTGGACTGATTTATGGAAAGTTCTGTGAATGTGACGATAGAGAATGTATTGATGACGAAACGGATGAGATCTGTGGAGGTAAGTACACAATTCTAATGAATGTCTCAATTAATGTTTTGCCTTTTTGATGTCTTGTTTGTGTGTGTAATGTTTCTGTCATTCAGTAATTTAGAATACTGATGCATTCATCCATACATCACCATTGAAAACATTATAAATTTAAAATGTATATCTAGGTTTCAAATGTAATATTAGATTTTTAAAAAATCAGTCTTGCTATCACAATTAAAGGGACCAAATAAGCACTGAAACAATGTTAGGATCAAAGGGACACTACAGTATACGCACTATACTATACTATACTGAACTCTGACTGGTCAATTCTCTACCATTTAGGAGTTAAATCACTTTGTTTATACAGACCTGGTCACACCTCCCTGTATTAAACTCACAAATCCTTCCTAAACACTTCCTGTAAAGTAAGATCTAATGATTAACTTCCTTTATTAGACGTTCTGTTTAATTTAGAATTCCTTATATCCTGCTCTGCTATTATTATTATTGCCGTTTAAATAGTGCCAACAGATTCCGTAGAGCTTTACAATATCATGAGAGGGAGGATTTAACTATAAATAGGACAATTACAAGAAAACTTACAGGAATGATAGTTTGAAGAGGACCCTGCTCAAACGAGCTTACAGTCTGTAGGAAGTGGGGTATAAAACACATTAGGACAGGAAATAGCAATAACATAAAGTGGGAGTGAAGCAGAGCTGAAGGAGAGAGTAGAGTGCTGCCCTTTAGGAGAGAGCAAGAGACAGGTATGTAAGGTAGAGGTTACTCTGGGAGGCCATACGCTTTCCTAAAGAGATGGGTTTTAAGGCACTTCTTAAACAATTGTAGACTAGGGGAGAGTCTGACGGCGGTAATCAGGCTATTCCATAGGAAGGGAGCCACCCGCGAGACGTCCTGCAAGCGTGAGTTGGCCGTACGGGTGCGAGCAGCAGACAGGAGAAGGTCACGGGCAGAGCGGAGAGACCGAGAAGGGACATACCTATGGATTTGTGAAGAGATATAAGAGGGACTAGAATTATTCAGTGCTTTATAGGTATGGGTTAGCACTTTGAATTGACTCCTATAGGATACAGAAAGCCAATGTAATGACTGACAGAGGGGTGAGGTGTTAGAGGACCGATTAGAAAGGAAAATCAGTCTGGCGGCAGCATTCATTACAGACTGTAACGGGGCAATTAGGGAAGACCAATTAGGAGAGGGTCACAATAATCCATGCGGGAAATTACTAGAGCATGGACAAGCTCCTTGGTAGCATCTTGTGTAAGAAAGGGACGGATGCTGGCTATGTTTTTAAGATGGAATCTTCAGGATTTGGCAACATACTGGATGTGAGGCTCAAAGGTGAGGCCAGAGTCAAGTATGATGCCAAGACAGCGCACTTGCAAGGATGGACTCATGTGAATACCACTAACTTGAAGGGAGAGTGAAAGAGGAGGATCAGTATGAGGAGGAGGAAAGACAAGGAGCTCAGTTTTAGAGAGATAGAGTTTCAGAAAGCGGGAGGACATCCAGTCAGAGATGGAAGAAAGGCAAGCAGTGACACATTGCAGGACGGCAGTGGAGTGGTCCGGGGAGGAGAGATATATCTGGGTGTCATCAACGTACAGGTGTTATTGAATTCCAAAAGAGGTAATATGTTTGCCAAGAGAGGCAGTATAAAGGGAAAATAGAAAGGGAGCAAGGACAGAGCCTAGGGGGACTCCAACCGAGACAGGACAAGGGGAGGAGGTATCATTAGAAAAGGAGACGCTGAATGAGCGTTGGGAGAGATAGGAGGAAAACCATGAGAGGACAGAGTCACAGAAACCGAGTGATTGAAGAATTTGAATAAGGAGAGCATGATCAATGGTGTCAAAGACAGCAGAGAGGTCAAGAAGAGTTAGTATGGAGTAGTGGACTTTGGATTTAGCTGTGATTAGGTTGTTAGTAACTTTGATAAGAGCAGTCTCAGTAGAGTGGAGAGGGCGGAAGCCAGAGGGAAGAGGGTCGAGGAGAGAGTTGGAATTGAGGAAGTGAGACATACTGGTAAAGACAAGTCTTTCCAGAAGCTTTGAGGAGAAAGGGAGCAGGGATTTGGGACGATAGTTAGAGGGGGAGGACGGGTCAAGAAATGTTTTTTTCAGGATAGGTACTACAGTGGCATGTTTAAGTTCTGCAGGGACAAAGCCAGAAGAGAGAGAGAGCAGTTGAAGATGTTTGTTAAGGAAGACGCAAGACAAGGGGAGGGAGATCTGATACGGTGATATGGGATAGGATCGAGCGGGCAAGTGGTGGGGCGAGAGGAAAGGAGAAGCACAGACACCTCTTGTTCAGTAGCCAGGGAGAAAGTCTGAAGGGTAGGAAAGGCATGATCTACGTGTGGTTGAGAAAGAGAAAGGCAGGGTGGGGAGAATTCTTTCCTTAGCTGTTCAATCTTGTCTGTAAAATAACATGCAAAGCTATCGGGTATAAGGTTAGATTAGGGGGTGGCCACAGCAGGGTGAATAAGAGATTTAAAGGTGTCAAAGAGATGCCTGGGATTGCGGGACCATGAACTAATGAGAGAGGGAAAGTATGACTATTTGGCGGTGGCAAGGGCTGCGTTTTATGAACACAATATGAATCTAAAATGGAGAAAGTCTGACTGGGTGCGAGACTTCCTCCAGGAGAATTCAGCACAACGGGAGCATCTTTGCAGGTAGCGTGTTGATGTAGTATGCTTTTTAGTAATAGCTTTCTAGACCCTCATGTGTGATTAAAGTTCAATTTACAGAGCAGATGATAAAAACTTCTAAAGTAGGTTAACATCTGATTGAAAAATTAACCATTTTGCTTTAATGCAGGCTCTGTCAATCATAGCCAGAGGAGGTGTGGCTAGGGCTGCATAAACAGAAACAAAAGTGATTTAACTCCTAAATGCCAGTGAATTGAACTGTGAAACTTCAGAGGCATGATCTTTATACTAAAACTGCTTCATCAAGATAAAGTTGGTTTGGTGACTATACTGTCCCTTTAACAGCTTGATTCACTACATTTTAAGGATAGAAATATATTTATACGATTGATAAAATTAAATTTGAAATCCGCATGCTATTTGAGGGTATATTTACTAGACATTTGGCTGTACACAGATAGCAGTGGGCTTGCTGACTGAGGTCAGAATAACTTAGGGGAGTTGCAGATTTTTATCAACTTTTTCACAGGTTTGCAAATTTGTTGAGTGGTCGTCACAACTCACAGCTAAGTGTGATAAATACCATAGGGTGGATTGAAAACTGTTTATCTCTAATTTTCCAACACTGTTGGAAAACCGGTGAGCTCCTAGTTCCCTATTCTTTTGAGTCCTAGCATAATCTCTGTCTTAACACACATGTGCTTTACCCAGCCCATATACTCCAACTCGTATTGTGTGATGGAATGTTAAAATTTATATCAAATGCTGGTCTCTCAACACACACTGAATTTCAAAAATACTGTGGCATCTTGCTTAGCCACTACTAGCAGCCAGTGAGCTGCAGGCAACTTATTTAAAAGAAAAAAAAAAGGATGACAGGCTTTTTATAACTGCATTTACGCTGCTGGCTAGGAAGTCACGGCACATTAAGCAGAAATACTGTTTCCCAAGAAGAAAGATATTAGACAGTAAAGAGGATGCATTTGTTCAAGAACTGATATTGTGGTTTCAAACTTGTTTTAAGAACTCCTCATTTTATTACACCCCTTAATTCACAAACAGGTAAGACAATAGGCAAATATATTATGGCCACAAGAGGGAACAAAAAATTTATAAAAATAAAAATATAAACCGCTATTATATCTCCAAAACTGAGTGACTCAACACCATATAAACAAATAAACAAACTAAAAATAACGGAGTAGCACTGTAGAAATTGTAAGTGTCTGAGAAATTGTCTCCAGTTTTACAAATCATTTTTTGTACCCGAGAAACATCACTCTAAAAATGTACTTATAAATGCATTTATTTTGTAAAAATGAAGTATGTATACAAATATATGTAGTTTGTTTTTTTCTCACTGTATAAAATTTGTTTTGGGTGCAGGCCACGGGAAGTGTTACTGTGGAAACTGTTACTGTGAGGCTGGTTGGCATGGAGATAAATGTGAATTCCAGTGTGATATCACCCCATGGGAGATCAAGAAAAGATGCACATCGCCAGATGGCAAAATCTGCAGCAACAGAGGTGTGTCATTACTAATGAACCTCACATCTGTATGTCTTTCAATTAGTCTTACACAGTAATTGTGCCAGGTTCTAATTTATTTGCCCAGTTTATTAATAACGTCCAGAATAATGTGAGAAGCACAGATACAAGCTCATAAAACATTCAAGCAGCTAATGCATTGTCTGTCACTTTCAGATATAAGATTTTTGAATGCAAATATCATGGCCGTATTTATTGCGGATTAGATCATATATGGTTTGTATTTATGAAAGTCTGCTATTAATTTCTTGTTGCTCTGTAGCCCTCTCTCCCATGTTTTGCCACTTCCTGCCCACTCTGTCTTTGCTGCTCCATGTTAGCCACCTGTTCCCATTCTCTCGTATGATTGCATACAGTACATTTTCGACTTTGATGTGAAAATGAGTCATGATGTTGCTGCCATTAACCCCTTAAGGACACAGCTTCAGAAGCTTGTCTTACGCTTAATGACACAAGCAATTTTTGCATTTTCTTGCTGTATGCGTTCAACTGCAATTTGCATCTCTCTCGTTTATTGCACCGACACATATTATATACTGTTTTTAAAGGACATAAAGGGCTTTAATTTGATGTAACATATATATATATAAATGCTTATTTATTATTTAAAAAATACAGAAAAATGCAAAAAAAAGAAAAATTTTGTGTTTTTTGTACAGTTTTTGCAATAATAATGTGTGCCTAATTAGTGCAGGTTAAAGAAAGTAATTAAAAATAAATTTATTTAGTTGTTCTGATTTACAAAATATATAATGTGTCTGGGATTTAAAGTTTTTTTTGGTAGTTACAGGTCATAAAGCACAAGGAGTAAAATAAACTTTTAATGTAGAGCGATTTTAGAATTTTGTATGTTTGTCTTGTAAGCTTAATAGCCATAAAAGAAAACAAAATTGCCACACAAAAGTATATATTTATATAAAGTAGACATCACAGGCTATTGTCCTAAGGTTTATTTGACACTTTCTAAGTAGCCATTTCACCGCCAATCTCTGCTAAATATTGGAGTAAAATTTAGTTTTTTGGAGTTTTTGGCACACAAACTTATAACAAAGAACTTCCCATGTATATTTTGTAAAGTTGGTGTGTGCTATTCCTGTACAAAGTTTTATTTTGTGTTCAGTTACTTCTGCTGAGTACAACGATACCCCCATTGTATGTCTTTGGCACTATTTCGTGAAGCTACAGTGCCATATAGGAGACCTGTCCGTTTCAACATTTACAGTAGAATTTTGAGAGGCGGATTTAATGGGCCTATGCTTCAATTTGGGGTATTATAGCAGTTTGACTGTTCAAAAAAAACCCACAAAGGCCTACCATTTATAAAAGTAGACACTCCAGGGTATCTCATATGGTGCATATTGTGCCTTAACATGCCCCCATTTTTTCACCAATATATGCCAAAGTATGTGGTAAAAAATAATTTTGGGCATTTTTTACATACGGATTACATTTTTGCTGGGCATTTTGTACATTTCATATGTGCCACTAAGTTCAAACCCCCAAATTATGCTCAGCTAAGTCTTCTGAGTAAAACAATATGCCCAATGTATGACCTAGACACTATTTTGTGAAGTTACACTGCTATAAAAGAGACGTAACAAGTTAAGGTTTTTAAGTGTGAATTTTCATGGAGGGTTTTGATGCGTCCGTGCCCACTTTGGAGCACTTGAGCAGGCTACATATTACAACTACACCATAAAGGCATACCATTTCTTAAAGAACACATCCCAGGGTATTTCAAAAGGCATATTTTGAACCTTAGCGTGGGATAATTTTTCCGCTAGCTTGTACCAAGTGTAATGGTAATAAGCGTTTTTTTGCCTTTTTGACACACAAAGTAAATTTGCGCAGTACATTTTGCAAATCTTATGTGTGCTACGACTGTATAATACTTCATATGTTGCTCAGCTATGTCGGCTGAGTACATCAATACCCCCGTATGTACCTTTGCCAGGTATATGTGGACATCGGAGGGGCACATTTGGGACACAGCCATTCCAGTTCATTTCAAACTTTAAATTTTTACACTGTTCCCATGTCCCATTTTAGAGTATTTTACCAGGCTATATAATCCAAATACCCCATAAAGCCATACCATTTCTTAAAGAAGACATCCCGGGGTAATTCAAAAGGCATATTTTGAACCTTAGCGTGGGATAATTTTTCCGCTAGCTTGTACCAAGTGTAGTGGTAATAAGCATTTTTTCTGCCTTTTTGACACACAAAGTGAGTTTGCGCAGTATATTTTGCAAACCTTATGTGTACTACGACTGTATACTACTTCATATGTTGTTCAGCTATGTCGCTGAGTACAGCAATACCCCCGTATGTACCTTTGCCAGGTATATGTGGACATTGAAGGGGCACATTTGAGACACAGCCATTCCAGTTTTTTCCAAACTTTGAATTTTTACGCTGTGTCCATGTCCCATTTTAGAGTATTTTACAAGGCTATATCATCCAATTACACCATAAAGGCATATCATTTCTTAAAGAAGACATCCCAGGGTAATTCAAAAGGCATATTTTGAACCTTAGCGTGGGATAATATTTCCGCTAGCTTGTACCAAGTGTAGTGGTAATGAGCATTTTTAATTTTTTTACTTTGTAAAACTTTTTTTACTTTGTAAAACCCATTTTTAAACTTTTTTTTTTACTTATTAAATGTTTTACACTATCTTAACTTTTTTTACACTTTTAATTTTTTTTCTAAACTTTTCTTTTACCGTTAACCCCTAACTAGCAGTAAGCAGCACTAACCGTAAATTCCCCATTTTCCCATAACTCCCACCCACCCCAGCTAGCAAAATATTTAATTATAAAATATTTAAATTAATTAATTAAATAAATGGAACCCCTGAGGGTTAAAAAAAATAAATAAAAGTTAATCCTCAGGGGTTAAAAAAATTAGATCACAGTATAATACTGTGATCTGTATTTTGATCACTGTAGGCAGTGATCAGCTGGCAGGGAAGGGGTTAATTTTTATTTAGACTGGGTAAAGGGGGTGGTATTTTTTTTTTTTTTACTTAAACGTTACTAAAACATTTAAAAAATTTTTTTTTTTACCTTTTTAAAGCTTATTTTAAAACTTTTTTTAACGTTAACCCCTAGTTAGCCTAACACCAAATTCCCCAATTCCCCACTAACTTCCACCCATCCCAGCTAGCTAAATATATAATTTTTAATATTTAAATTAATTAATAAAATAAATTTAACCCCTGAGGGTTAAAAAAAAAAATAATTAACCCTCAGGGGTTAAAAAAAAAAATCAGATGACATTAAAATGTATACCCTGCCAATTGATCACTGTAGTCAGTGATCAATTGGCAGGGAAGGGGTTAATTTTATTAAAACAGGGGCAGGGGGGCTGGGATTTAACTTTAATTTTTTTTTTTTTTTACACAGGGAAGCAGATCAGCACTGATCCGTCTCCCTGCACACAGAACCAGGAAGTGCAGGGAGGCGGAAGGTGAGTATGTGGAGCACATGTGCTCGCTGTCAGCCTGTCAGAGCGAGCACCGGTGCTGGGGCAGCCCGATCGGGTGCTCCCGGTCTGCCTCTAATGCAGAGGCAGACCGGAGCACCGTTAACCCCGCGATTGCCGCGATCGCGGCGATCTGGGATTAATTTAAGAAAATGACGGAAATTTTCCGTCAACGGTCCTTAACTGAAGGACAAGGTTGACGGAAAATTTCCGTCCACGGTCGGGAAGGGGTTAATAAAACAAGTCAGTCCTTTCAGTGCAGGACTGTCTTTCCAATGCCAATACTGAGAGACTGACAGCAGCTAAACAATAGCTCCTACCCACCTGTGGAAGAAAGTGTATACCTGTTTTTCTTTGTGGCAGAGAGAATCCATAAACTATTGGTAAAAAAAAAAAACAAGCTAAGGAAAACTCTCTAGCTAGAACAAGCTGGAGATTTTTATTTTCCAACTCACCCAAGAAGGATAAAAATGTCCATTCCCACAGAGCAGGGTAAGCCAGGAGATGCACCGAAAGGCGTGATTAACTCATGCATTGCAATATGTCACACAACAAGGTTAAAAAATGTTTTTCCAGTTTTGATTTAAAAATGTGCACACACTATACACAGACAGGGTGCATTTACCATTCTTGCTGCCTCAAAGCAAGTTTCCTTAAAAGGAACACTCCAGTGTCCAAATACAAGCAAAAAAAAAAAAAGAATCCCTGTGTAGTAGAAGTGCGTTTTTTCATTGGTGTTATATCTAAAAACAGCTTCCAAAAGCTGCAGATCTATTGCTTGCAGCATTTGTAAGCCCTCCCCCTTCTAACCCCTTTAAGCCTTGTGTGGCTACCCAATCACAGACTTACCAGTTCAGCTCAGTGAGAAGTCTTTGCAAGGCAGGTGCTCTGACAAACTGCTGCCTCTTGAATTTAGTTTCACTGATTTAACCAAACCAGGAAGAAACATGAACAGTTGTCCAATTAACAGCCAGGAGGCTTTAATAAGGTTAATTTACAAAAGTGCAATTTTCCTTTTTGTAAAATGAGAAAAAGTGGACACACTCTTCACCCATAAAGCACTACAGCAAGCTGAAGAAAGTCTAGAATGTCCCTTTTAATATATATATATTTGGTGTATGTGACTGGATGGGTAAATGCGGCTAGTTTGTAGTATGATTGGAAGGTTAATTTGACTAAGTGGGTGACTGGATGATAAGTGGGACAGGGCTGAGAGAGGATGGTATGGTATGTGTGTGTGTAAGAAACCTTGTGTTAATGCATGTGTGGGTGCTTTAGGGTGTGTTTGAGAGGGATAGGGGATGCGGGATAAGCATTGAGGTGGACTCAGGGGCGGACTGAGAGCCTTTGGGGCCCCCGGGCAAAATTAGATCCCAGGCCCTCTGAAGGCCAAATATATGTGCATTAAATAAATGTTAAATATAATTCATAATACGGCATTCCTTTGGATGTGTGTATTGTGAAGACCTGTGTATCAATGCATGTTTGTATTTGAGTCCGTGTGAATGCACTTGTGCATGTCTGGATGACTAAATGTGCTTTTTTGTATATAGGGTCAGTGTGAATGCATATGACAAGTGACAGAGTGTGTGAGGGAGAAGGTGACAGGTGGAAGAGTGTGGGAGGTTGTGACAGGTGGCAGAGTGAGGGAGGGGTTGAGTGGTGGCAGAGTGAGGGGGAAACAGTGAGTGGGTGTGACTGGTGACAGAGTGAGGGAGTGGGTGACTAGTGACAGAGGGAGGGAGATAGGGGTGACTAGTGACAGAGTGAGGGAATGGGTGACTAGTGGCAGAGTGAGGGAGGGAAGAGATGACTAGTGGCAAAGTGAGGGAGGGAAGGGGTGACTAGTGACAGAGTGAGGGGGGGTGACTGTCACTAGTCACCCCATCCCTCTCTCTGTCACTAGTCACTCCCTCCCTAACTCTGTCACTGTGTCACCCGCTCCCTCTCTCTGTCACTAGTCACCCCATCCCTCTCTCTGTCACTAGTCACCCCATCCCTCTCTCTGTCACTAGTCACCCCATCCCTCTCTCTGTCACTGTGAAGGAAGGAAGGGGTGACTGGTGACAGAGTGAGGGAAGGGATGACTAGTGGCAGAGTGAGGGAAGAAAGGGATGACTGGTGACAGAGTGAGAGAGGGGGTGACTAGTGACAGAGTGAAAGAGGGGGTGACTGTCACTAGTCACCCCATCCCTCACTCTGTCACTAGTCACCCCCTCTCTCACTCTGTCACTAGTCACCCCCTCTCTCACTCTGTCACTAGTCACCCCCTTCCCTCTCTCTGTCACTCCCTCACTCTGTCACTAAGGACAGAGGGGGTGTTTAGTGACAGAGTTAGGAGGGAGTGACTGGTGACAGAGAGAGGGATGGGGTGACTAGTGACAGTCACCCCCTCCCTCACTCTGTCACTAGTCACCCCCTCTCTCACTCTGTCACTAGTCACCCCCTTCCCTCTCTCTGTCACTCCCTCACTCTGTCACTAGAGTGAGGGAAGGGGTGACTAGTGGCAGAGTGAGGGAAGGAAGGGGTGACTAGTGACAAAGTGAGGGTGGTGGTGACTGTCACTAGTCACCACCTCCCTCACTCTGTCACTAGTCACCACCTCCCTCTGTCACTACTCCCTCCCTCCTTCTGTCACTAGTCACCCCCTCCCTCACTCTGTCACCTGTCACCCCCTCACTCTGTCACTAGTCACCCCCTTACTCTGTCACTAGTCACCCCCTCACTCTAGTGACAGAGTGAGGGACAGGGTGACTAGTGACAGAGTGAGAGAGAGGGTGACTAGTGACAGAGTGAGGAAGGGGGTGACACAGTGACAGAGTGAGGGAGGGGGTGGTGACTGTCACTAGTCACACTCTTCCCTCCCTCACTCTGTCACTAGTCACCACCTCCCTCTGTCACTACTCCCTCCCTCCTTCTGTCACAAGTCACCCCCTCCCTCACTGTGTCACTAGTAACCCCCTCACTCTGTCACTAGTCACCCCCTCACTCTAGTGACAGAGTGAGGGACGGGGTGACTAGAGACAGAGTGAGAGAGAGGGTGACTAGTGACAGAGTGAGGAAGGGGGTGACACAGTGACAGAGTGAGTGACTAGTGACAGAGTGAAGGAGGTGGTGACTGTCACTAGTCACCCCCTTCCCTCCCTCACTCTGTCACTAGTCACCCCTTCCTCACTTTGTCACTAGTCACCCCTTCCCTCCCTAACTCTGTCACTAGTCACCACTTCCCTCCCTCACTCTGTCACTAGTCACCCCCTCCCTCATTGTCACTAGAGTGAGGGGGTGACTAGTGACAGAGTGAGGGAGGTGGTGACTGTCACTAGTCATTACCTCCCTCCCTCTGTCACTAGTCACCACCTCCCTCTGTCACTACTCAATCCCTTACTCTGTCACTAGTCACCCCCTAACTCACTCTGTCACTAGTCATCCCCCTCTCTCACTCTGTCACCAGTCATCTGCTCACTCTGTCACCAGTCACCCCTTCCTTCCCTCACTCTGCCACTAGTCACCCCTTCCCTCACTCTGTCACCAGTCATCCCCTCACTCTAGTGACGGAGTGAGGGAGGGTGTGAGTAGTGACAGAGTGAGGGAGAGGGTGACTAGTGACAGAGTGAGGGGATGATTAGTGACAGAGTGAGGGAGGGAATGGGTGACCAGTGACAGAGTGAGGGGGGGTGACAGTGAGGATGGGTGACTAGTGACAGTGGGGGGACTAGTGACAGTGAGGGGGGTGACTGGTGACAGTGAGGGGGGGTGACTGGTGACAGTGAGGGGTGGGTGACTGGTGACAGTGAGGGGGGGAGGGGGTGATTGGTGCCTACCTGTCTCTCTGCTTCCTCGGCTCTCTCCCAGGCTGCAACTCCTTCCCCATGCTGGGCTCTGTGTGAAAGGAGTAAACAGGAAGTGAGGTCACTTCCTGGCCCCGCCTCTCCCATCACACAGAGCCGCATGGGAGAGGAAGCCGGAGACCTGGCAGAGAGCAGGTGAAGCTGCCAGGTCTCATGGGGGGGGTGGTGGGTGACTAGCAGAGCGGTAGGTTGTGGGGGCCCCGTGCTGCATCAGGGGCCCCCCAACCTATCGATTAAATAGTTTTATTTTATTATTTTGCCGTTCCAGTTGGAGAGATCTCTGATCTCTCCAGCTGGAACAAGGCTGTGCTGCCGGGCCCCTGACTGCCTCGGGCCCTCGGTCCATGACCGATATGCCCGAGTGGTCAGTCCGCCCCTGGCCCTGTGTCTGTTGTAGGATTTTATATTATCAAATCATCTGAGCCAGGGGTAGACAACCTATGGCATGTGTGCCATGCATGGTACTCGAGGTGTCTTTGCACGGCACTCAAGCCTGCTAGAGCCAAATAGACTCTGGCCTATCAAGAGTCCCAGTGAAACTTTAGATATCTGCCAATACGAAAAGGTGGTGAAGGACAATCCTCAAATTATGCATCTCAGATCACTTCATTCTAGCACTTGTGAATGAGAATCCACACTGGAGTAGAGCAGCCCAAAGCTGCTGTTGCAGCTCCTGTTCTTGACCTGAACCTATCCTGCTTTGTCCCCAGTGGACTCCAGGGAAGTCACCCACACTGCTAGATATACACAGAAATGCAGAATAGACTTCATACAAATAATACAAACAGCACACACTTAAACACACAAACACACAATATGCACAATTGTAACACTAACAATCCACATACATGCACACAAACCCGCATTCAGTCTCTTACATGCAATACCCCAAACAGCCCCCACACATACACACACTACTAAACACACAATGTGACATATCCATCCACACACAATTCCACAAGCAGCTCCCATACACAGGTATCATACACAATACCACAAACTACTTATGAACATATACAATTTAAAACCTCATATATACACAAATACAATGATACAAAGCAACTGCAGTATAAATAACACAAGCAGGATACGGCAGCATACAAACCTCAATTTAAAAAAATGGACCGTCATGCTATGGGATCATCACAATCCTATTTTGGCGCAGTGCTGCTAAAAGGTTGCCTACTCCTGATCTAAGCAATAATGTTTCAAACAATGGGGGAGGGATGGGGGAGGGAGAGAGTCTTTATCAAGGCTTAGTAAGCATCCAGGAGGATTGAAACATTGGCACGCTGTTGATCTGGCAAAGTAAGTACACCTAGGATCCTACCTTTATTGGAATAAGTGGTTGGGGATGTGGAGTCCCAGCTCTGTATTGTCAGGTTCAGAATCGAATACAATTGTGAGCATTTCACAATATCATATAATGAAGTCATCAGTTAGCTATAGATCTATGTCTTTCAGACAGTGTTTTTTTTTTAAATCTTTTTTGATAAGCGTGCATTACATGTGCTTGATAATCCATTCTTCAGGAGTAAAATTAATTCAGCGATCCATTCAAGTATAGTATAATTTATATTAAAATATATTTTGCAAAACACTTTAATTAGGTATCCACTGTTGGAAGGGGATATCAATTACTTGGGGAGGCTATTCTATAAAAGTAAACAATTTATTGTGAGTAGCTACTGGCAGGGCCGTCTTTAATAACGAATGGACCCTGGGCAAGTGTTTGCTTGGGCCCCTTGTGCCCTGCAGCTCTCGCCCCCCACTCCCTGGTATGCAATCACGGCATCCATCCCAACGCAGTGGCGGTACTAAAGTAGAATTAATTTTATTGGGACCCCCAATTGCAAGGTTGGACTAAAGGTAGAACCCCATCTGTCGTGCAACTCCAACAATGCTTTGACAGCTGGGACTCTACCAATTTCCCATGCTTGCAGGGTTGTATTTAGCACTGAGCCATGTTAGTATGTTTGAATGTAAGCATGTGTTTGTATGGAGTATGTTTGTGTGAATGTGTTTGTATGTGGTACTGGAGTTTGAATGCAAGTGTGCATTTATGTGTAGTGTTTGTTTTTGAATGTAGGAGTGTGCTTGTATGTAGTGTTGACGTTTCAATGCAGGAGTGTGTTTTATATGTAGTGTTGAAGTTTGAATGGAGGGGTGTATTTGTATTTAAAGTTGCGGCTCAGATGCACAGGTACACACTCTGACGCACAAGCAGATACACAGATACATACACTGACTACATACAGATAAACAGGCACATACACTGACAGACACACTGACACAGGTACATATATTGACACACACACAGACACATACACTGGTAGACGTACTGACAGACATACTGACACAGGCACATATACAGACATACTGACACACAGACACATATACCGACATACTGACACACACACACACAGACACAAACACTGATCAACATATTGACACACATACACTGACAGAAATACTGACACCCACATACACTGAGAAATACTGACACACACACACAGGCACATACACTGGCACACACAGACTGATATACTGACACACACACACACAGACATACTGGCACACAGACAGATATACTGACACATGCATACACATGCACTAACAGACATACTGACACACAGACAGACATACTGACACACACACACACAGACAGACAGACAGACATACTGACACACACACACAGACATACTGATACACTAACACACACACACTAACACACATTTACACTAACACACATATACACTAACACACATACACACTAACACACATACATACACTAACACACATACACACTAACACACATACATACACTAACACACATACATACACTAACACACAAACACTAATACACACACAAACACACATTTTTTTTTTAAATGTAATCCCCCCAGCCTCCTTACCTTTTGGAGTGCTGGGGGGATTCTGGGGTCCAGTGGTGCTCTGAAGCGGCGGCGGCTGGGCGGCCCGGCTGTAACGATGAGCAGGAAGCGAGCGCGAAGCACTCAAATTACTTCCTCTTCAACTCCCTCGCGCCAGCGTAGAAATGCGGCGCGGAAAGGCCGGCGCGTCATCTTCGGCTCCGGCTCGTCTTGTCTTGAGAGCTGAAAGCACTAAATTTCGCGCCCGCCTCCTACCAGCTCCCCTGGTGCGAGCCGCAGAGCGGTACCTCAGGCCCCAAGAGAAACTGGGCCCGGGGCAGCTGCCCCGTTTGCCCCGCGTTAAAGACGGCCCTGGCTACTGGGAGCATGTGAAATATGTTGTGTCTTTCCTAACACCTGGGGACCAACTGAAATAGCATGGGGATCCAATTATTGGTCCTGACCTGCAAGTTAAAGGGTTACACCAAGCACTATGACCACTTCAGGGATTAAAATGTGGTCAATGTGCCTTGAGTCCGTATGTGCAGCATTTAACTTTAATTTGCTGCTGGAGGTGTAATTCCTAAGTAATAAAAATCACATTCATTGGCTTAGAGCGCTTATCTGATTCTCTGAGCCAGTGAATGGCAACAGGATTGGCGTTCGGCTTCTACAACTCTGAAGAAGCCAGATATATGTCAACAGAGTGGGAAGGACCCAGGAAGGAGGTCACACCATTGCAAAACGTTTTTCCAAATTACCAGGAAACAGGGCATCAAAACGGCTACAGCAGGCACTAAGAGTTACGATGATTCAAGTAACCATTTCAGAACACCTGCTCTAAGTAATTTATTCCTGAATATCACTTATAATTAAAAATTATCTGATTTAGCACTAATGCACCAACACTCAAAATCAGCTTTCATTTAAGAGTTTAACATAGGCTAATTCAGATCTCTATCTGTGTCAGAAGTGAAGAAATCTATATATGCAAACAGGCAGTCCATATAAATGTCATGTTTTTTTTTTTTTTAAACTCTCCAAATTGTAGGCTCTCTATTGGTCTGCATCAACCTGTGAAAAGTAATACCATGAAGTCGCCATCTGGTGATAAAAATAAGAAAGTGCAATTGTATCATAATTCCTTAAAGGGGCAGTCTTAGCACTATAATCATTATTATTATTATTATGATTGGCATTTACATGATGGTAACTTATTCTGTAGCACTTATTACAGCGTGAAGTAGTGGTTAAGGCACCAGAAGGTTCTTGTTGCCATTTCATGGTAAATAGTGATACTGTTTTTAAATAATTTGAGACACACCTAAGTCGTTTGGGATCCAGCAATCTCAACATTCATTTAATATAGTTAAATTATAATGGAATTAATATGAAAGTAGAGATTTTTACTTTACTGATATCTGAAAATGGGGTTTCACCCCAGGAACCCTTAGGACCCAGGTAATAGTCAATTTATTTAAAAATTATTTGAGATCTTACTATGGGTTGGTGCCAAGACATTCATGGTACCATAGCCACTATAGTGCAATGTAGTGCTTATGGTGCTTAGAGTGCCGCTTAAATATATAAATAAATGTGTTCACTTTCTAAAATCTTTCGGTTTCCAGTGTCATAAAAAAAAATCTCAAGGTCATCATAAACTCTAAACTCAATGCAACACCCAAATGATCAATTATAAGAAAACAAACTGACGTACAACTGACATACAACATTACAATATATTAAGTGCTTTGCCCATACAATAACGGGATCTATGTTTCATTTGGATTAAAAATGATTTATTTAATCTAAAGGATGCACTAGTAGCTCACCCTTTGAATATTACATTTCAGTATGACATTCTAGTAATTACATATTAATAGCAAAATATTCAAAACCGACTATTCAGAATATTCACGGTCACTTATGTATCTTTCGTGATTACGTTAGCACGAAATGTATCCACATTTCAGAGAATATAACATAATCTTTATAAAAATAAAGAGATTCAAATGAGACATTATTATGTCAAGAATGCATGTCTAGTGACCCATTTTATTTTGCCTGATATAATAAGGATTAAAAAATAAAAGCACAATGCACCCAAATCAGTTATTCTTTAATAAAACTGTATACACAAGCTTTCTGAGTGCTGTCGGTGTTTTGATCATTAAATCACTCTGGAGTCTTAGTTACAGTATTGAATGTTCTGGAAAGGTGTGCATAGATTACTGTATAATGTGATAGACGTATATCCTTTAGCTTTCGATGTACTAGGGGGAAATAACTCATGTTTAGCATTGCTGGGAGCTCATTACAAAGGATTTAGAAAATCATTACAATATTGATTCCAGTTTCTTTATACAACATCAGATGATAATAAAATTTAAACCAGATTTATAACCTTGCAGGATTACATTCCAGTGCCCAACTTTATAAGAGTTTATGAGATATTTGGAAGGTTTAAACTGAATTTTAGATGTCCCCTATGAAGATTACTGTAATCGCTGTGTAGAGACCAATATTATAAAACAGCGTTAGGTTCATAATTAAGGAATTTGCGCAAATATCTTTTTTCATATTTGGAGATTGTGACTCATTTTAATTAGTTGCATGATGTTACATTGGCTGTATAAAAACAAGTGAAAGTATTGCAGCGAATAGCAAATAAAGTTTAAAAAGTCAGTGATAAATAACAGAAAAGTAGAAAAGATAGTTAAAAAGAATAAGCATAAATATTAATTTATATAATATTAATACAGTTACCTCGAAGGGTAAACCAATAAACCAATATTACACTCCTTTCTAACCAATTATATCATATTTATTTAATTAGACTTTATATATATATATATATATATATATATATTGGATAGCACAGTGGTAATGTCACCGACTTTGAACTGGGAACCACAGTATGAGCACTGCACCAGTAAGTGTCTCTGGGCAAGACACCTAATGATATATACCCTGCCCACCTCATTAATATGAGACCAACATGAACCAAGAGAGTCATGCCGGCTCGAAAGTCACCTGGATTAATAAGGTCCGCGTCAGATGCTAGGGAACCAGTGCATTCTGACTCAGGTGGGCTACTGGAACAAATCATTCCTGGACAAGGAGAGAGAACTTAGACCTGCTTGATTGCTATTACAACACCAGACCCAATGAGAGAGGCTACATGAAATGTATGTGGGAGCTATGGATGAATAAGAGACCACCATCTACCCTAACACCCAAACAGCTGGTTACACAACATTTGAACATCTTCAAAATAAATCTAGTGTAACAACTGGAAATAAATGGACTACAGAAGAAATCAACCATACACCATGAGGAGGAAGAAATTCCCATACCCACATTCTTACCTGCAGAGAATTGTCAGCCTGAATCCATACCCCAAGATGGCATAACAACAGATATAAGGGAAATGATCCTAGAAAAACTAGCAGTCGTTAACCTGCTACCGAAGATCACTGGAAAGCAACCACCGGACAGCATACTAACTGCAGTTAATAAAACATTGTCCACAATCCCATCCTGCACCATCACAAAAATGACAGGCTCATATATGCCACAGCATTAGTGGTTCTCCAGTTACCTGACTACAAGATCAGGCTCAAAGAGAAGCAATACCCACCATGGAGACTATGACCGGAATCCAAGATAAAGACAGCACGGAAGGAGGTTAGTAAGCTGGATCAATTTAACAGAGCCACACCTCCTCGCAAGACCCACCCAGAGCTGAGACTGAACAGTACTGGAAGAATATCTGGGAGCAAGAAGCATCTCATATTACCGAGGCCTAGTGGCTACTGGAAATGAAAGCAGACCACTGCATGCTGCCATAACAGTTACCAGTCATCATCACAAATATGAATTGCTAAGGGAATGCCTGGGGAATTCCACAGATCAAGGATGCAGAAAAAGAGGAGGTACCTTGGCAAGACAAACCTCTCCATGAGGTGTACCACTGGCAGATAGTGGATGTGGCTCACATGACAAAATCCTACCAGTGGTTGGAAAAGGCAGAATTGAAAGACAGCACTGAGGCACTAATCCTAGCAGCACAGGAGCAGGCACTCAGCACCAGATCAATAGAAGCTGGAGTCTACCACACCAGACAAGACACAAGGAGCAGACTGTGCAAAGAGGCCTCTGAGACAGTCCAGCACCTAGTAGTCAGATGCAAGATGTTAGCAGGAACAGCATACATGGAGAGACACAACCAAGTTGCTGGGATTGTGTACCGAAACATCTGCACAGAATATGGATTGGACCTGCCTAAGTCCAGATGGGAGATACCACCAAGGGTAGTTGAGAATGACAGGGCTAAGATCCTGTAGGACTTCAAGATCCAGACAGACAAGCAAGTGCTGGCCAGCCAACCAGACATCGTGGTGGTAGACAAGGAACAAAAGATGGTGGATGTGACTATAACATCAGGAAGAAGGAACATGAGAAGGTGGACAAATGCCAAGGACTGAAAGAAGAACTAGAAAGGATGCGGAAAGTGAAGGCACTAGTTTCTGTGCATTGCATTTAAATGTAAAACATGACAATGGGTGTACAGGCACATGTCTGTTTTCGTTGGACTATATGTGCAAATATATGAATATAGTGTACCAATGAATGAGAGTGTTATGCTAGTGAATGAATATAGTTTGTGGATACATATAAGTAGTGGGGAAAAGGAATTAGTTTCTGTTTACATTTAACAGTTTTTAAAGTGTGTGCAGTCAAGTATTCTGTTTGTAGGGGGTGGACGCAAATGTGGAGTGCTCCTGGGGGGATCCACACACACAGTCCGTTGGTTAGCTTTTTGAATTACAAAGG